ATTAACTAATTGCAATAGAGGTATAGCAATTTCGGATTCAGATGGAGCATTTAAAGAGCAAATAATTGGCATACAGTTTATTTTTAAAAACTATATATTTTCTGTTTTATAGCAAAATTAAATTTTCGATACTTTAATTTTTTAAAAATTATTTATAAATTAACTAATTGCAATAGAGGTGGAGCAAATTCGGATTCTGCTGGAGCATTTAAGGAGCAAATAATTGGCATACAGTTTAATTTTAAAACGTAGATATTTTATGTTTTATAGCAAAATTGAATTGTCGATACTTAAATTTTTTTTAAATTAATTATAAATTAACTAATAACCATAGAGGTGGAGCAATTTCGGATTCTGCTGGAGCATTTAAGGAGCAATTAATTGGCATACAGTATAATTTAAAAAAGTAGATATTTTATACTTTATAGCAAAATTAAATTTTAGATACTTAATTTTTTTAAAAATTAATTATAAAATAACTAATAATAATAGAGGTGGAGCAATTTCGGATTCTGCTGGAGCATTTATGGAGCAATTAATTGCCACACAGTTTAGTTAAAAAAAAGAATGTTCTACGCTAACTTCCATCTGGTGAAGTTTATTATTATTAACAGATTTAAAAAGGTTTAAGCTTTTTGATGAGATTATTGCAGTAGTTTCTGTACCGAATGTACGTAATTTTTAATATATCGTTATGGGGTTCTTTTCGTAGCTTTTGTTGTAACTTATTACGATTTCTTATACAACGCAAAATGCCTGGAGTGATCCAAGGCTTTATTACACATTGACTTTTGGAATATTTGTGTGTGTGTGGTGTTGGCTTTTATAGACTCACTAAGTTCAGCTATTAGACGGTCTGTTACTGTGTTAGGGTTGGTACAAAATAATAAGTCAGTAAGTTTTGATTTTTGAAGGTCTCTAATAGCTTGCGAATAATCTATATAAGTTTTCGTTCTAGTTATTGTACATTTAGATGTCTTAGTTTTAGAAAGAGAAAGTAGAATGGAAAAATGGGCGGTGATCGTAGTATGCAAAACTGCAATAAATGCAGAAAATTTATTTTTGTTATACTTAAGCATAATATGATCCAGACAATTTTTTCCTCTAGTGGGTAGATTATGACCAGCAAGTATACCATAGCCAGAAAGTGCATTCAAATAGTTCGTTCTATTGTTATATTCAGAAGAAGGCTCGTCAGATTTGGGGGCAATGTTTATATTGATGTCACCCGTGATGATTATATTATTATGGGTAGTTAGGGTGTCCAGCTGAGTACAAAGTGAGTCTAAAAATGGATCAGCATTTGCATTTGAAAGAGAGCGGTAAATACATAGTATAATGTTGTTAAGTATATCCAGCTGTAGACAAGAAGCATGAGTTCTTTAACCTTATGTTGGAATCAATTACTACCAGCGATTTTTCCGGACCGATACGACTTAGGAACCTTCAAGAAAAGAGCCTACTCCTTTTTAAAAGGCCGGCAACGCATCTGCAATTCCCCTGGTGTTGCGGTTGTTCATGGGCGGCGGTAGTCACTTACCATCAGGTGGGCCGGATGCTCGTTTGCCCCCTCTTCTATAAAAAAATTGAACATGGACCAACCTCCAGAACCGTAACAATTATTTGTAGTTTATACAAATACTTGTTCCGTGCGAGATTCGCACGCCCATTTTGCCACACAAGTGTAATCACAGTAACGGACTGTATAAAACAGCTTTTAGTTGATTATTATAATTATAGTATAACTACATTTTTTAAAGCTATTCTAAGCTGCTTTTGCTTGACACACTGTTTCAGCCTATTCAGTCAAGCATCATTCACACAAGTAATCACTCACAAAGGCCTATTCACTCTTGCCTTGAAGACACCCACATTGTAATCGGATGTAAACACAGTTGCTGTAAACTTATTCCACTTCTTTGGTGTTCGCACGACGAACAAATGCGGGGTAAATCGGCAACGAAGAGGTGGAGACTAGCTGACCGAGCGAATGGCTATCCGACGGTCGAAGGAAAAGGGAATAATTAAGTTAAGCAATTCTTGCACACACTCTCCGAAATGCATCCACCGCGGCGCTCAGTACCGCAACACAATGCTAAACCTCTGTGCCACAGAGTCGTCAATTAATTGATTGGTCTGTGTATAAGCGGCGTAAGTGAATACATATGACATAGGAAAGCTGGAACAGGAGATGTACAGCAGCATCTTCATGATAACAACTCAAGATAATAAAAACTGCGGTTCACAAGTGTTTTATAGGATTGTTTTATAGGATAAGGGTGACAAACGAGCATACAGTCCACCTGATGGAAAGTGGTTGTTGTAGCCCACAGATATCTACATTTATCCTCGATTACAAATTGCAAATGCGTTGTCACCCGTAGGGACTAAGATGGAATGCCTCCTTTCGAGTAAAAAGGGTCTCCGATTCTCTACACTCACCATACGAAACACAGCAGCGTTAAGCTGCTATTTTACGCTGCTATTCTGTCACAGCGTGGTCCTTCCCCAGCCGAGCTGACCTATTCGTGCTACAACTATACTAAGGAGACTCTTTAATAAGCTATAATAATGAATAATTATACGTGGTAGAGCCACGCTGAAGCTGTATTAAGGTTGTAGCGCAACTATACTGCTAATATAGCTGCAGCATGGCTCTAACAAATCTAGCTGGTATTCTGTGAGAGCGTGGTCTTTCCCCGGTTGAGCCGGCCCATTCGTGCTATAACTATACTACTAATATAGCTGCAGCGTGGCTCTACCACGTATAGCTGGTATTCTGTGTGAGCGGGATCCTTTCCCGGTCGAGCCGACCCATTCGCACTACAACTATTCTACTAATATAGCTGCAGCATGGCTCTACCAAGTCTAGCTGGTATTCTGTGAGAGCGTGGTCTTTCCCCGATTCAGCCGACCCATTCGTGCTATAACTATACTACTAATATAGCTGCAGCGTGGCTCTACCACGTATAGCTAGTATTCTGTGTGAGCGGGGTCCTTTCCCGGTCGAGCCGACCCATTCGCACTACAACTATTCTACTAATATAGCTGCAGCATGGCTCTACCAAGTCTAGCTGGTATTCTGTGAGAGCGTGGTCCTTTCCCGGTCGAGCCGACCCATTCATGCCCAAACTATACTACTAATATAACCTCACCGTGGCTATACCAAGTCTAGCTGGTATTCTGTGAGAGCTTGGTCCTTCCCCGGTCAAACCGACCCATTCTTGCTACAACTATACTATTAATATAGTCTCACCGTGGCTCTACCAATTCTAGCTGGTATTCTGTGAGAGCTTGGTCCTTCCCCGGTCAAGCCGACCCATTCGTGCTACAACTATACTACTAATATAGCTTCACCGTGGCTCTACCAAGTCTAGCTGCTATTCTGTGAGAGCTTGGTCCTTCCCCGGTCGAGCTGATCTTTTCGTGCTACAACTATACTACTAATATAGCCTCACCGTGGCTCTACCAAGTCTAGCTGGTATAATGTGAGAGCGTGGTCCTTCCCCGGTCGAGCCGACCCATTCGTCCTACAACTATACTACTAATATAGCCTCACCGTGGCTCTACCAAGTCTAGCTGCTATTCTGTGAGAGCTTGGTCCTTCCCCGGTCGAGCCGACCTTTTCGTGCTACAACTATACTACTAATATAGCCTCACCGTGGCTCTACCAAGTCTAGCTGGTATAATATGAGAGCGTGGTCCTTCCTCGATCAAACCGACCTATCCGTGCTACAACTATACTACTAATATAGCTGCGGCATGGCTCTAACAAGTCTAGCTGGTATTCTGTGGGAGCGTGGTCTTTCCCCGGTTGAGCCGGCCCATTCGTGCTATAACTATACTACTAATATAGCTGCAGCGTGGCTCTACCACGTATAGCTGGTATTCTGTGTGAGCGGGATCGTTTCCCGGTCGAGCCGACCCATTCGCGCTACAACTATTCTACTAATATAGCTGCAGCATGGCTCTACCAAGTCTAGCTGGTATAATATGAGAGCGTGGTCCTTCCTCAATCAAACCGACCTATTCGTGCTACAACTATACTACTAATATAGCTGCGGCATGGCTCTAACAAGTCTAGCTGGAATTCTGTGAGAGCGTGGTCCTTCCCCGGTCAAGCCGACCCATTCGTGCTACAACTATAATACTAATATAGCTGCAGCATGGCTCTACTAAGTCTAGCTGGTATTCTGTGAGAGCGTGGTCCTTTCTAGGTCGAGCCGACCCATTCGCGCTACAACTATACTATTAATATAGCCTCACCGTGGCTCTACCAATTCTAGTTGGTATTCTGTGAGAGCGTGGTCCTTTCCCAGTCGAGCCGACCCATTCGTGCTACAACTATACTACTAATATAGCCTCACCGTGCCTCTACCAAGTCTAGCTGGTATTCTGTGAGAGCTTGGTCCTTCCCCAGTCGAGCCGACCCATTCGTGCTACAACTATACTACTAAAATAGCTTAACCCTAAAAATTATGAGTCTTACCTAGTTTAAATACCGCCTCCCGCCGCCGAGAGCAGAGTCTCAGGTGCTCTTCGAACTAGATAAGTCAGCACATTTTTTAGGGTACGTCCGTCGGTCCGTCCGTCCGTCTGTCTGTCAAGGGGCAGTATCTTATGATTCGTAATAGGTAGACAGTTTAAATGCTGACAGAACAGACTGTTGCCCATTTTTATTATTATTATTTGTTGTTATAACAACAAATAATAATAATAAAAATAAATTAAAAATTAAAGGGGCTCACCTACTAGAAACGTGTATTACGATGGTACGAAACCTTTCATGCGCGAGTCCGACGCGCACTTGACCAGCTTTTATTTAGTTTTACACGGATCTCAGCTTATTTAGCAAGTTTAGTAACTTTTTTAATAAATTTCAACAAAGTAACCACTGATCCTATTAATCTTCTTAGTAAAGACAGGCCTGTGCCCAGTATTGTGACGTACTTAAATATATAAGTGTTTTTTGCATGTAAAATTTAAATGTTTAATTCCAGCACTGGCAGAAGTAAGAGGATAAGAACGATATTCACTCCGGAACAGCTGGAGCGGCTGGAGGCGCAGTTCGAACGGCAGCAGTACATGGTGGGGCCAGAGAGGCTGTATTTGGCGCACGCTTTACAGTTCACCGAAGCACAGGTAAATATATAGACAATTTATTTTAGTGTCCTATGTTGGTTTGGGAATAATTCGTCCAATGTTTTTTTTTATAGAATAAGGGTGACAAATCTTACACTTTTTCTCGCCTAGCTCACATCCGCCAAATTCGTTCCGTCCGATAAGGAAGTTCGATCCAATAATGTGCCAACTGTGTTATTTGCTTAAAACGTTCTAAATGGCGACTTATAGAATATTGGGTTCGTGATTGTGTAGGCGACTAGCCAATTGTTACTTCTTTCACAATTTTTTTATCTATCTCGTAAATAAAATGATAGAGGTTTGCAGTTGTTCCCGCATCACTGAAAAACTACTGGATAGATTTCAATTAGCTTTTCTAAGTTTTATTTCTTAAACACTTGGTCTTATCAAAAAAAAAATATTGCGATATCTTCATTTAATAAAAAGTTATTAAAGTTTTAATAAACAACGATTTTTATACGAGGTTATTTACACGGTCAACTGTACGTCACTTGCTCCCGCGTTACTAACACAGATAATTTATATATTTTAGCTACAGATGGAGCAATGAATAAATAAATTTTATAAACAAAGTATATTTCTGATGTTTTTTTTCCTTCGCACATACGGAAACTTTGTTAATAATATATCGAGCAACACGGATGAAGTCGCGGATGTCAGATTCTACGTGTCAGGTACTTATTGAAGCAGTACCTAAATATTAAAACCACGAACTTAGATCAACTATTAATCCATTTTGTTCCGTGGGTGTCGTAAGAAGCGACTATTTTATAATAAATGACGGTAAAACCAGCTTGTGTATTGTCAATCTACCCGCCAAGCATGATGGTTAAGGCATACCTTCCCTACAATGGGAGAGGCCCAAGTCAAGTTATGGACTTTAGTGGCTCATTAAGTAGAAGAGGGTTGTCGCTCGTGGGCATGTCAACCAGCACGCCTATGTTATGATTATAGGTAAATCTTTAAATAAATGGGTCATTTAATGCGTTATTGGAAAGTTTTTATATATATTTTTCACGTCGTAGGGCCACGTTGTTTCATATTATAGCTGCACCACGAATAGGTAGGATCGACCGGGAAAGGATCACGTTCGTACGAAACACCAGCGTGAAATAGCAAATAATGTTGCTATGTTCCGTATGGAGAGTGACATGAACCGGAGACCGTTTTTACTGATAAAGAGGCATTTTCTCTTAGTCATCAGGGGTGACGACGCTTCTTCATTTTCATTCTTAATTAAGGATTGATATTTTAATGGACACAGAATCTTCTTTTTTAAATAACGTTACCCCCACACTAGGATATTCTCCTGTATCGTAGAGGCAGTTGACATACATACATTTCATAAGGAGAAAGATCCAGGTCCGGAACAATTATTTGTAGGCCATTCCAATACTTGTATTCATTGCTAAATGCCATCTGCCATTGCGCGACGGAGCCATCATAATAGTATGAATATTTTATCCCAATAGTAACGTTTGATTATCGCGCGAACTAGACGTGTCGCTGACTAAGAATAATTTTTTGCGAATAAAAATAATATGGTTTGTTACGGCCTACGGCTGCTCCCTTAAAGGGTCAAATCCTCAGGGGCCCATGAGCTGAAGACTTCCCTAGCAGACGTAGGTCGGGCCTCAATGTGGCCACGTGGAATCTCTCTAATTACACTAAAATATATGGGGGAGCGTTATACTACGGCCAGTCGACCGGAAGGAATTTGGACGTAGCTTACTTACCTATATCCAAGGCGACTGGTCCCTCCGGAGTCGGTCAGGTCGCCTGTGGTTGTTGTATTGCAAGGGAAAGAAGGTGATGTGATATGTATCTAGGTGTGACTGATGGTGATTGAACCTAGACCTTAGCCGTCGGTAGCAGCCTGGGCGTCGACACCGCTCCAACTTGAGGGGACCCTCCGAGGCGTTGTCCACATTCACTTTCCTCGTTCGTCACGATGACAGTCAATTAACTCTATCGTGCGATTAACTAACTTACAGAAGCCACTAACTATCGCGGGGTATAAGGTTACCGCACAAAACGCACACGGAGTTTCTGGATCAAAGGTCGCTACCGTTTCGCGTTGCAACAGTTAGTTCTAGAATATCAGAGGCCGCACTAGCTAATATTGCTGAATGCACTTATGCAGATTCTGAGTCAGACACAATGTGTCCCGGGTAAGCTCTCCAGTAGGGATGCACGCCATAAATCCTAGACCGTATTTTTACTGTCCGCGCTTAATTATTCCGAGTTCCCGACAAGAATGACAGCGTGCCAATCGTTAGCACTGCTTAAAGATGACTGACTGCCCTTGGGCGTTTTACGCACGACCGAATGTCAAACCGGTATGACACTGAGCCGCGCGCCCTCTCGCGTTCGTTCCTGAAATTAGCGTTTAGCGCGAACAAACCCCCGTCCCGGACATAAGGATTTAGGTCCGCGAGCAAACCGGGCAGCGGGACAAGGTCGCAACGGCAAGTTACAAGACCGAATCTACAACCAAACTAGGCCACCTTAGGTGCCCCATCAGGTCTTGCAACCCTAACCTACGCCTCAAATTACCGCCCCAACGTGAGCAAGCCGGAGAGTTGAACTGGATGCCCTTCCTGGACATCGCAGCCCATAAATAAATCCTATTCTGGACAGAAGTCCGACGACCTCTTTCAAACACCTATCTGTGCCCCTACGATTAGTTCTGCAATCCGACCGGATCAAGTCTGCAAACAGCAACGCGACACGAAGCGGCCCAGAGTGACCTCCTAAGCTTCAGTGCAGAGAGCACCCACAAATTCCACATGAACGTCGTCTGTGGAGAGCCGAACGAAGCGCACAGATAGTCCCTAGTATGAATTTTCAACAAGTAGGCATAGCTAAGCCATCCACCATATAATCATTTACCAAATGGTGCGACAGCTGATTTCCATCTGATAATCTACAAAACTAAGCTAACCTGTTAGATAAGAAGTCCTATGCTCATATTTCAACTAATTTTTCAAAAGCATCAATGTTCAATTACAGAATTAATTCAACCAAATTAATCACCGATGCACATAGGTCAACTTGCAAATTAAACAAAACAATAACGTAAGAGACAGACCTATATCTCATTTACGTAACTTAGACAGTGCCAATAAAATGTAAACCAAAGGAGAATTGACTTTTATTTACCTCGGCACAAATAGGGTTATCTAATTTCAGCCTTCTTTTTCACAAAGCAAAATGATTAAACACTATCACAAAACATATACATAGTTTTCCAAGTAGCGCGGCATTCAATTTCAAATGAATTCAAATTTTCTTTTCAGCAACCAGGCGCAACAATCAAATGCAGTGATTAAATATATTTACAAAACACATGCAGTAGCATTTAAAGGAGTAGATTAAATTAAATTCTTTTAATCACAACCGCTACAAATAGGAAAATTTCGCGGAAAGCCCAAAGCATTTTTTAATTTTAATTCAAAGTATTTTTTAACTAAGTGCTCGACCAAACCAAATCTAATACTCCTTCACAGCGTGATTCAACGCTCCAGGGGGGCCCTAATCTTCCCACCACCAAGTGGAGGCCACACGGCGTGAACCCGAGAACAATAGAGCGCAACCGCTAACAGTCGCCACTCGGGTTGTACGCCTTCACTGAGGACGTCGGCAACAGCACATTTTGACAAGTGGACTGTTGACGGCTTAAGGCTCAGCGGAGGCGGCCGTGGTGGGAGCTAAGGCGGCAGCTAGCCCGGGCCGCCTTCATCAAATGGGGAACAGTGGTACACCAGTCGCGGCCACTCAGCTAACGGGAGTGAGAAGGGTCCAGCGGACCGATGAGTGGCCGTAAAGTTCCTCTCCACACGCTGAAGGGGGGTGATGACACCCCCGCCCCTGGGGGAATTACCCCCCGACTGGTCGGGGGAGAGACCCCTTCCAAACCTAGGGGCCCGGTGGCCGGCCGGCGGGCGCCGAGAGTCGCCCGGCAGAGGGCGTGGCTGAGCGCCCCCGCCCGTGGGGGTCGAGGGCCTGGCAGAGCCCCGAGAGGAGACGCCGTTCGCACCCAGGCACAAAACTGCATGATGATTGCCCTGGCAATGCAGACAGGGCCGCCGATGCGGACAGTCTCGCTGGAGGTGTCCTCCCAAACATGAGCAGCACCAGCGGCGCTCCTTGGCGATAGTTCGCCTCGCTGTAACCGGCTTACCTAATAATTTCGGGCACGACGTTACCCGGTGATCAGATGCTCGACAATAGGAGCAGGGGGGGGGGGGGGTTGACGACAACTTGCCTGGCGGGTTCAGCCTCTCACTGGGCACGTCTCGTAAGTCGTCAACGGTGCTCGACGCGTTCTCGATCTGCCGGGACTGCTCCTCCAAAAACCGCAGCAGGTCATAGAAGGGCGGAATATAGGAGGCCTCGTCCCCGCCGTACCTCTCCTCAAAATGGATTCGAAGGTCGAGAGGTAGACGGGACAGCACGATGCGGAGCAACAAAAAAGCCCATTCGCCCACTGGTAATTCCAGCCGCCTCAACGCATTACAGGCCACCAAGACTGGATCCAACAGGTCCGGACGCAGTCTGGCCCGGTCACTAAGCAGCGGGAGGCTTAGAAGCTGCTTAACATGTTCGTCCGCAATTCGCCGGACGTTGGCGTATCTTCTGGCTAGGAGGTCCCGAGCAGTCTGGTAGGCGTCGTCCGACAATCTCAAGTGGCCGACTACGCCCAGGGCCTCCCCCTCCAGTGAGGCCAGGAGGTACGCCATCTTTTGGCTCGGGGTCAAGTCACTCCGGGCGTCCACTAGGTTGTCGAAAAGACCAACGAAGGTCAGCCATTCGGAAAGGACCCCGGAGAACTTTGGCAGGTCCAGAGTTGGGAGTCGTCCCAACAGCTCCGGCTGAAGCTGCTTCAGAGAGCACTCGGACAGGTCACTCATCCGAGCTTCACGCGCCTCCTCGGCATACCTGCCTTCAGCCTCGATCAACTCGTCCGTAAGCCACAAGAACTGCTCATAGTCCGCGAA